TGTGTGTGCTTCCTCTCTGCAGGTAGAACAGGCAACAAGCATCGATGGTGTGAGAGGTTGAGGGTGAAACTCTGAAATATGAATATTTCTCACAAACTTTTCTTCATTACAGGATAAAAATGTGTTTCTGTTATTCTGTCTGACAGAAACGTTCTCAGTTCCAGATTGTAAAGAGATGATAAAGAAGATGAATATTTGTTGGGTGAGAGAGGAAGTGGCTGTTTTTATTGATGCTATTATATGTTATACCTGCTCACTGCTCCTCGCCAGCTGTGTGTTCGCTTTCATTTTCCTTTTTATTGTTAACTTTCACCGTCGACGTGTCCTCTTAAAGGAACAGTTCGCTGCAGGATCGGCCCTGCTGTACAACCACAGCGGGTCATTTTACACTTCAGAAGAACAAACTTTATCGCTTGTACAAAAACAACTTTCAGTGATTTGGGTGAAACTGGATCATATTTTATGGAGAGCATATTGTCTGTTTTTCCCTCTGACGTCCTCCAGCTAACTGCTGCTGTAGCTGCGTGCAGCGTGTAGTTAGCGTGCTCTGTCTGTCAATTATCTGATTACAATGCTTCCACTTTTGGTAGATACTACCAAGGTTCCAAAAACACCAGTAAACACGGCCGGACCAGGACCGAACACGGCCTTCGAGACGGACGGATTTACAGTTTCTTGATGTGCTTGTTGCTAAAAATAGCTAAAATGCTGCTAACAGTAATGTTAGCTCATTCAGTTAACATCAGCTGACTCAGCCCCAGGTTGCCAGGCACCAAACCTGGCAAAAAAAACCCACCTTGGATGCTGTATTCGGTCCCGGTCTGGCCCTGTTGTTCACGGAGAGCTCCCAGTACGGCTAACAGGGGAAAGGGGAAAATAACGCACATTCAGCGTTATTCCCTCCCTTGCAGTCTGTTTTTTGGAAACATGTCATTATGAGGAAGCAATAGTTTAATACTTAAACTGGATTTTACTGATTCTACTTTTACTAAAGGAACTTGTTTTACAATGTGGTTTCAATACTTTTCCTTCAGGAAATCCGAATACTTCCTGCGCCAGTGGTTCAGTCAACTGTTTGTTGGTGTTTTTCTGCCTTCTACCTGCACTTAAGGGCTCATGACCTACGAGAGTGGCAAGGTCACCATCTCCTCCCACACACAGCCTGTTATCCCCATGGCAACTGAGCAAACGCCAAGAAGGTCACAAGAAATGGTGGAAAGCTTCAGAGAAAGTATCAAACCAAATCTTATTGATATTCAGAGGAATTGTAATTGTGCGTGCAGCTGACTTACTGAACATGAACTCTGAGTGCAGGAGAGACAACATGTTTCCTGTGAACCGGATCCATCTGAGAAGATTAATGTTGTCTGAAAACACAAACCCCCATCGAGAGTCATTTGGTGGAAGCAGCGGTTTAATGAGCAAATCTTGTTCACATCTGGTAAATATCCCTAATATCCCTTTCCAGTTCAGTTTGAGTATATTGTCTGCAAAGATGTTTCACAATAAAAGCCTTCTAGCGGCTCAGTTGGCATAAGCCCTCGGTTTCCTGGTAGACCTTTATTGTGAAACCTTTTATTGATGGCAATAAATAAACATTTTTTTAAATTTCATGCAGGATTTGGTTCTGATCTGTGGTTGTGTGAATATGCTGAGCTGATCAATCTCATCCTGTCATCAATACATGTGATAGATGATTCTTCTGAACTATCGACACTGTCATCTGTTTCAACAGATCAGTGCTGTGTAATGGCCGCTCTGCAGCGAACGCACCAGATGGTGAGTTGGGAGACGACTCCCGGCTAATCCAAAAATGGGCAAAAAAAAAGACTTTAAGCCTTGATTTAATTTAAACGGGTGACTTTATAAAAATCTGTTTAGTTGCGAAGAACAGACCTGAAGTCTTTGTTTGTACCAGGTTGTAAATATGTTTATTTCTGGTGTTGGACAGTTTAATATGGAGCCTCTAGTGGCTGATAGAGGAACTGCAGGTTTTGTTACTTCAGAGTTGGATTCAGGCTGCTGATGGGATAACTTTTTTTTGTAAATGAAGGGAAATCAATAGATTGGTAGGATGCTTTTTAATATTTGGGCTTGGGGGAAGGTGTCAATCAATTTCAAGTCAAAAGCTTCAAGTCCAACTGAAGTCACAAGTGATTAAAGTCGAGTCAAGTCATCAAATTTGTGACTCAAGTGCCCACCTCTGCCTCCACTACAGAAACAGTGGTACCTGTAGTACTGCTCACTCAGTAATGGCCATTATCTGAATACCAGGTGAACAGGTCTCTATGCTACTGTGGGTTTCCTCAGCACACAATCTGACAACACTGGTCCGTTATACCACTTTTATTCTAAGTGTAGCTATCACAACAGACAACAACTTCATAAGTCTGTCACACTCACTCTCAGTTGCCTGTCCACCACCCAGGTCCAGCACACTACTGCAATATAAGGAGAGAGTGATTACTCAATGAGTACCAGCTGTGATCATCAACTCACCTGGTGCTGCTCACAAGCCTCCACCACACCTCTCTCTCCTGAGTGTAAACCACACCAAACTTAAACTCTATTAGAGGCCTGGACTGTAAAATCGCTCTTGAGTGAGTTATAAGCTGCTGAGATCGCCTGCATAAATAAATGATACACATCGTTATCACGGGAAGTCTGTTGCTCGCTGTCGGTACGCTGGTAACTTCTATTATTAGAAGTTTTACAGTATTTTAGATTAATGTGTTAATCTTTCTGCTGTTACCTGAATCTGTTTTCAAATATTCTCTGTTTTATTAATCAGCTAAGCAGCTTTTTCCTATTCTTGACAGATATTTAACTTAATTATTGATTATTTCCTTTGGTGTTTTTACCCACGAATACAAAATGAAAACTTTTCTGAAATTCAGAACAACGCAGCCAGCAGGGGCCCAGACAGGTTCTGGGTCGGCCCGAGTACAACTTTAGAGCAAGAATCACCAACATGTTTGATTCACCTCTTTCACAGACATAAAAACTCTTTTCCAGGCCAGTCGGAGGTTTTTACAGACCCTGCTGGAGTTCCCTCGAGCAGGACACTGAGGGGCGTTTGTGAAAGCTTGATGTGGTTGTGTGAGTGGTTCAGCCTGAGGAGTCTGACACCTGCAGGCCAAACACACCTTCATTATTCATCACCGCAGGTACAAAGTTTTCACACAAGACTGTAAATGTGACCTGACTGTAATCACTATCGGGCCTCGTGTGAAGTCCATCTAACCCAATACTGAACCCGTGTTCACTTCATCTCTGAGGGAAATGTTGCACGTTTTACTACATCTGACAGCTTTAGTTACTTTACTGCAGAAGAGTATTGCATTAAGTGTTTGCTCTCTTTTTATGAATGAACCTTCAGCAGACTCTCAATGCCCAGGGCACTCGACCTCGGGCATGGACCAAACCGACTGCCCTCTGGTTCTCCAGCAGTACCGGGGGGTGAAGGATTGGCCACACAGAGCCCTGCATTGGCCTGCTGGTGCTCGCTGGAGCCTGTCTCATGGTTGAAGACACCAAACCGACTCTCATTTCTTCGTGTCTCGGACAGAAAGTGACACTAGAAGACACCGCACCGACTACAGCACATACGATCTGCGCGAGAGGTAACAAAAAGCTCACCAGCACTGCAAGCGTAGACAAAAGCAGCTCTATGGACGCAGGTTTCAAATCTATGTAAATGCCCGTGTATTTGAGTAATCAGCTGAAGTTGAAGACGATGCCTGACGGTGCAGAACAGATGGATGTAGTGGAGCAAAAAGTACAATATTTCCCTCTGAGAAGGAGTTGAGGTACTGAAGTCAAGTACAAGCACCTCAAAGTTGTACTTAATTACAGTTCTGCTCCCAGGAAATACATGGTTTTACATGTTAGCTGTAAAAACAGGCAGTAAGCGTCTACTTTCCAGTGAACTCAGCTGGACCAAACACAATCTCCTAGACCGACCAGGATTGATGGGTTTGGCTCCTGGTGTCAGTCAGTTATTTTACAGCTGACCGAGCTAACGGCAGTTAGCAGTTGGCTACTTATCGATCTGTCCATCGGGTAACTCTGTAAATGACCTCGGTACTGTAACATTATTCCCTGTCGGTCTCGTAGGCTGTGTTCGATCCCGGTCCGGCTGCTGAGCCTGGTTCAGGGTTCAGTTCAGGTAGCAGCTAACTAAAGCAGCTAAAGCTATCTGTCCTTTAAGAAACTCTGAACAGTGAGTTGAAGCTGAGCAGCCGGAGGACATCAGAGAGAAACCCAGAACAGAACCAGTATTAGTATACGCCCCCGAGTGCTGGATGAATCATCAGCCGTTTATTGTTCATCAGGAAACTGAAATATCACTAAGAATTCCTGAAAATACCTCAGAAATGACTGTTTGGTCACTGTTGGGTCAGACTATCTCTGCGACACTTCATAAAAACACTTAAACATTCATTGTGACTACACGCAGACTTTAATCACCATTTATCCTTTAAACAAACTCGTCTTCATTATTTCTAAACGCTGTCGGAGTCGATGTCGCAGCTTGCAGCCGTTTGATTTTTCACTTTGGAGGAAACTGAGATGTAATTCACTAACAATGAATCCAACTCTGGATTATTCATCAATTTACTGCTCCGATGTTTTTACACAGCAGGGAGGAGTGTGTGTGTGTGTGTGTCTGTGTGTCTGTGTGTGTGTCCTGCTTTCATGCAGGACAGAATTCAATTAGGAGATGATGTAGTTCCTCTGAGTTTCCCGTTTGCATTTGACAGTGGAGAGATGATGGTGTTTTATTCATGCAATCAATTTACTGCTCATCACACACACACACAAATATAAATATATAAATATTTATAACGGACAGAGCTTCCAGGAAGTGGAAGTGGCAGGGGGAGCTCCATTGGCTGTAATAACACACTGACACCATTCAGTCTTATGGAGAAATGAGCCAACTTCTCTCTTGATTTAT